TTGGAATTGCTTGCACGTGACATACATTTAAACGATATTTACCGCCTTCATTGATGTTGGAATAAATATAAACAAAATTTGATTTCGTTTTCTCGATATCTCAGTTTATTCGTAATGAGAAACATAAGAGGAGATAAGATCGTGTGGGAGAGATCTTTTTAAGGCAAAATTGTGTACTACATAAATCAATAATTTCATTCAATAGCCTTCCAAGAAGGCACTAACTAGACTGAAGCGAAGTATGAGTGGTTGCTCTCTCTTCACTACGCAAGAAATATTCACCTCAGAATAAATTTTGAAGTGTAAAAGGCGGCTACACCATTCACTTTCACAGTACCAGGAAAGGACTAGGTGCAAGCGTTGTGAATTAATGATTTCCGAGGTTTGACTATAAACAAAAGTTTAAAGTCACTTTTACCTAGCGGAATCGTTTGGAAAGAAGATCTTTCTAAATATTGGAAGCACAGTCATATCTGGTACACCGACGACTCCAAAATCGAGCATAATAGCATCGAAGGAAGTCATAGATATTGTCTCAGTAAAGAGGCAGCCCAGTGATTTAGAACTCTTCAAAACTACTTTATTTGGATAACCGAGAGGCCAAAACCTTCATACCGGAAATATCAGCTAGAAAGTTCGAAAAGTGTCTAAGCTTCAGTGGTATTTGAATAGTCGCAGTATTTCTAGACTTTCCTACAAGTCATTGCAAGGTGTTCAGCTTGGGTGAAGAACTGGATAGATTGATTGACAAATATAAAGAAGAAGTACGCACTGTGACCTTACACTTTTGTGACTTCTCTTACTTTTTGGCTCGCTCGTCTTTGGAGACCAAGAAAGTATTAAGTCAATTTTTAGTACCTGCAACTGAAACAATCGTTCTTCATTAAGGGCGCTCTGAACGACCGAAGCAAATGGTAGTCTCATGGTGTAAGAGCTGGATTACAAGACGGTTGGATTAGGACTTCCCATCCGATACCATACGGCCGAGCAATGCCATAGTGGAAGATCAATGACGTATGCCTGGTTGCTATTTCCGGCCATTTACCTGGAATAGCTTACATCAATCACTTCAATTGTTTTCTGTAGAGAGTCCATGATATAGGATTCCTTTCTGGTACCATCAACTGCAGAGTATTACCTTGCTGCCATGGATATTTGGCTTTAGCACCGATGATCCGGCTTCGCCGTGCTTAACGTACGTCTTCTTGCGCTTCAAACTATTTTTCATTGCCGATTGACCATGCAATGCAAAAACGAGTTCGCTTTGTCCCATTGAATGAGCATTTGGGAAACAGTAGACACGCCGTTCGAGACATCTTAACAAGCCCGTCATGGTACAGGGATCAGAGTATTCGGGAGAAAGATTCTGCAGTAGACTTAGGCTTCATTCTGATTAGGTTATGCGTTATGAATGAACGCAAATGCTCCAGCACCAAAGTTATTGAGGCCGCTTTAAATTCCTAAATTTGCTGACGCCAAATAACTACTTATATTCAGACTCTTCAAATACTAATGACCATCACATTTCTTAAAAAAATACTTTTCAACACTTTAATCTCACAATGCCTTTAAAACGAATTACAAATACATCATTCACTTACCTATCGACGCCAAAATTGCCGAAGATATGACTACCAAATGAAGTAGGCGTGCTATGCAGCGCCGATGTGGGCGTGGTGCCGGACGATGTACGCGAAGTCAACGAAATCGGACCGCCAACCTCGATCGGTGAATCGGTGTGGCGCGAATTCGAAGTCGGGCTATTGGGACATTGTTGAGGCGTGGCACGCGCGCTAGGCGACGGCGAACCAGCGCTAATCGAGCCAAGAGACTGTGAAGCCGATTGAGTGGTTAGTTGCGTGGAAGAAAGCGGACGTTCATTATCCGAGTCCATGGCATGCGGACTGGCCGATGGGGGACCAGGGCTGTGAGAGCGACGCAGCGAAGGTTCGTCATCGTCAATTTCGCCCGTAATGTCAGGCGATGATTCGCGACTGTCGTGAAGCTGAGGGGAAGAGGAAAAAGGGGGAACAATTTTAGTTAAATACGTTACGTATGTAAAACAAAAAAGTCATTTGAAGTGGAATTTTGTTCGTAGCCTACCCACCTTATCCAGCGAACCGCTACTCTCGCCATTCTCGCGCTTGCGTTGCTCATCCTTAAGGCGTTCGGCTTTGCGCCATTTTGCGCGGCGATTCTGAAACCAAACCTGCAATAATAAAAATGGCGTAAATTCCACTTGAGTGCATTGTGTATGGCATGACTCCCAGCGAAGGGATGTCCAAAGACAATTTACAATAATTTTATATATCACCACTGCGACTGTGTGCGGCTTAGAAGTTAGCCAGCGGGCGTGGATGTGAAAATTGAAATTGGAAAAGTTTTCTGCTTCAGAGGCGCATACTCCCACACATACACACACATACACTCAAACAGACAAGAATAAAGGACGAAGAAGAATAAAAAGCAAAGTATAAATGCATATCATACAAACAATAAACCCAATTTTCCACCTCAGAAACTTTATCAATTTATTTATTATATGCCCACATGCGCACACATCCTGCAGGCTCGTTAGTCAGTTAACTCTGTGGAAGAATGTGGCTTACGAAAATGAGGAAGGCTGTATGCCAACTCGGCTAACTCCTTGCTACTTTCATTTATTCTTGTTTATACCTCTATTGCAATCAAAAATAAATTAATATTAACAATGCAAACAACAACAAAACACAACAAACAATGGTTTGGTGCAAAGGAAAATTGGAAAAGTGGCAGGAATGCAGATGAACACAGAGACATCGGCTTGCATTGGTGGGTAGATATGGTTGTTGTGGCGCTTACATGCAGACAATGCCATTAATTTAGCCAATCATTTCCATTGTTTAGACAGTGAATCCTCAAATTTAAGTGAGAAATGTGGAAGTGGCAAGAATGAGTGAGTTTCGTGAGGAACAAACAAAATCTTGTTTTCAATTTACTCACACAATAATCTGGGTAATAAAATTTAGCAAACAAGAAATTCGGTAAATAAAAGTTCTTCAATTTGAATTAGAAAATTTTTTGTGGGGTTGAGGCGATTTCGCAAAAGGCGTGATATCCATCGCCTTGAGACACGAACGTTGGAGCTTCATACGGTTCTAACTTCTAACAAGGGATTCAGGATTCCAATGTTGTTGTTGTTGTAGCGGCTACTAAACCCCGTTCGAGTCAGCTCATCCTTCTGCGTTGTCGTCTTGTTCATATAAGGGAAGGCCCAGGAAGTGCGCGACTTCAACAAGGGCTGTCCATAGGGACACGTGCGTTAGCTGTTCCGGGTTTTCGGGGTATGCAAGGAGATGTCTCTCCGCATGCCGGGCACGACACTGATTGGGCGCATCTTCATTCTATTCTATTCTATTCTATTCTGGTATGAGTTTAGCCTTCTGCAATAGCCAGGGCGAAGTTGGGCTATTGTGGTGCAGGTCTCCCGAGGCAGGCAAAGTTCTGTTCCGTCCATGTCAGGTGGTTGTGTGCCCAAAACGGCATTCACAGGTCGAGAGTATATATAACTCGTGACCGACTCCATGTGAATGCCGTTTAGGGAATATCGGTATGCAGTTGGGTCCAGAGGTTGTTTCATGAACCTCTGGACTCCGTCCGTCCTCCTGCCTGCCCACGTCTGTGGCACTCTACTAGGAACTGCTTGTAGAGCATTGTGTTATGCTCCTTAATGGGGAGCATCTGGGCCTCGTTGTGCAGGTGTGTTGGGGCGGCATCAGAAGACATCCAGTCGCAGTCCGAGGTGCCGCCGTGTTTTGGCTAGTCTGCAGCTTCATCCTCTGCGTCCTAGTAGTCCAACATTATTTCTAAGATTTTTTTACTCAGAAAGCCGCAATGGTATTTTCTCAGACTGAAATCTTTTCCTTCGACAATGTATTCATGGTCCTAACTGGAACCTCTTTCTGGTGCTCGCTTTTTCTACTGCCGGAGGAGCATATCGAACTTCTTGACGAAGTTTTTAACATTTGGTTGGTTGTAATGACTTCTGAGGACTGTTTAGACTTCATAGAGAAATAGTATCTCCTCCAGACTTATTGTGCAAACTCCCTATAGTTAATTAAGTAGGCTTTGAATTTCTGAAAGCAATATTTTTCGAAGAACTTGCTAGTACTTATACTGGAAACTATCTCAGTTGGAGAGAATGACTGGATTTATCGAAAGCTTTGGAAGCTCCCGAAAACCAATCACCAACTAGGTTTCTGCCTATTTTGCCTATGATGAAATAAAGTAGCTCGATTAATTGAAAGTTTTTTAACGATAAGAGCTCACATGCTCCTGCTACAGAATTCCGGTCTCTCATTAATGCCATATGTCTTCAATAAAAAGTGTTCTTCTGTTTTCTACATGATTTTGTTTCAGCAGCTTCTACATACATACATATACATATGTAAATCAAGGTAGGCGATGCCCAGCATCTGGTCAATGCTCTTATTGAGAATCAATACAAGCCTTTCTACGACTAAATTTAGTTCGAACTAACTAGTAACTCGATTCAAGCACCGTTACGGTTATGATCTTTATAATAGAAATCCTAATTCAACCTTTAATATTGCATTTATCTTTTTCTTATCAAATTTAATCGTTATTTTTGAAATTTTATTTATTCGATCAATAATAAAAAATAAAGTGATCTAATGCTCTAAGACAAAGGGCAGAGATACCCCTATTCCTAGGCCGCAGAAGGGCTCTGGGCCAGTGAAAGGAGTCGATGCTCCTTTCTTCGCTAGTTAATCGGCAATCTCGTTTCCTTTAATACCAATATGTTCCGGAATCCAGAGAACCCAAACTCTATTGGTTATACCAAGAGTATTCAGGTTGTCGAGATACTCTATCACCAGTTTAGATGTTAGCTGGTGATATCTAAGGGCCTTGATAGCCGTTTGGCTGTCAGTCAAGATCGCGATGTTCTACTTCCGGTAGTTTCACTTGATATTAAAGTACGCGCATATTTATATCACGTATGTTTCAACCTGGAAAATGGACATACGTTTTCCCATGGGTTCCGAGTATCTTAACCGTCTTGAAATGGTGTAGTGCTTAAACCCTCCAGCAAGGTTACACAGCTCGGTATAATTCTCGACAGGAAGTTGGACTGGAAACGGAACCTTACGGAGCGATCCAGGAAAGCCATAACCGCCATCTAAATCTGTAATGCAGCGATCGGGAAGCGATGCGGTCTAAGACCACACATAATACACATAATGTATTAAATACACTAGATGTAGACGGCGGTTGTTTGACCCATTATTTTCAACGGAATCAACGTATGGATAGGTGCAACCATGTTTATCACATGCCGTCTACCCCCAGAAAGGCCTTCGAAACTGTATTAAATCTTATTCCTATCGACCTTTACGCTGGATATCAAGCCAGCTGCCCCGTAACCAGATTGAAAACCGGACACTTGGACAGACCTCAGATTCGGTCGGTCAAAAATTCTGGGCACCATTAGAGCAACCCTATGCAAGCTGGATTATACGAGCTCAATTTTTTGCTTCGACAATAGGTTTTTATAAGGTTTTCAGACAGAAGCGACTGGGTAAAGCACCCGTACATGTATGCAAGGTCTACTGCCATCTGGGTCAAAGCTCGACCACAAGGTTGGTAGCGGAATTTACTCTAAAGACCTCTCACTAAGCCGCAGCTTGCGGCTTCCTGACCACTGTAGCGTTTTCCAGGCTGAACTAGCAGCCATTAGAGAGGCCGCCCTTTGGCTTAATGGCACCGTAACTTGTCTACGGTCCGTTACCATTTATTCTGGCAGCCAATCTGTGAAGGAATCAACCTGTTCCGTTACTATTTAAGCAGATCTGGCCAAGTACTTATGAAAGAAAAAAAGATCTAAAACTTTCATACGTATGGATTATTAGCGTAGTAGACGGTATCATTATAGGATACTGCTTAATGGGAGCGCAAGTTAAGCGAGTGGGCTATCCCGATCACTCTAGTGGCTACAGGGACAAGGGGAAGTTGTAGAGTGTAGAGCACTGTCTCTGCCACTGCCCAGCTCTGGTAAGATCACATTTTGTTATCTATGTATCTTTACATAGTATAAAAGAAAGTCGAGATTTTTTGTACGCGGTAATCTCGAAAACTACTGAACGGATTTTGACAAGATTTTCTCTGGTATACCCTGCATCTACAGGAGAGTGACCTTTTATACTTAGAATTTTAATAGGGTTTCCACCTGTCCAAAAAAACTATTAGATCCGCACTGTTCGTTGGATTACAAAAGATGAGGTGTCAAATGAAAGGGATTGGCCTCTAGAAAACCAATAATATGTTTTCAATAGGGTTGCCACCTGTTAATAAAATTACTTTACAATCGTAATAAGCGTAGGCATCAGTTCTGCACCGTCACTGTCAAACACAAAGACTTAGCCTCTACATGTGCAATAATGTATTATTATTCTGAGTAGGGTTGCCACCTATTAAAAAGTTACAAGAATTTCGTTCGTTGGATTACAAAATCAGATACCAAATGATTGGTCCTGGCCTTCGCATGTGCAAAAGCTTTAATTTTTTTTAATAGGGTTGCCACCTATTTAAAAATTACTATCTTCAATACATAGTATAAAGGAAAGTCGAGATATTTTTTCTCAATAACTACTGAACAGATTTACACGAGATTTTTTAAGTATAATCTGTATCAATATTAATATTATATTTAGTAAATTAAATTCTTATAGGGATGCCACCTGTCTAAAAAATTATTAGATCCGCACTGTTCGTTGGATTACAAGAAATGAGGTGTCATATAAAAGGGTTCGGCTTTTAGATGTTCAATAATGTATTACTTTTTGAGTAGGGTTGCCACTTTTTAAAAATTATAAGATCTTCACCGTTTGTTGGACTAAAAACTGAGGTTCCAAGTGAGAGGAAATGATCTCTGCATGTGCAATATGTTTTTATTTTTTGTTTGATTGTGGTTGCCACCTATTTCAAAATTATGTATGTATAATACGCGTGGGCACTTTTTGTTAATGACATTAGATTTGCACAGTTCATTAAATTAAAAAAAAAATGAGGTGTCAAAGGAAAAGGCTTGACCTTCCGATTTGCAGTAAGGTTTTATTTTTCAAAGAGGGTTGCAACCTGTGCAAAAAATTAAAAAAAATATGGGAAGAAACAAAGAGCTCGCTAGTAGTGGCATCGCAATGGATCTGAGTG